ATATATATATATATACCTATATGGAAATATGCTCATTTCCATTCTCAAATACTTATTATAGTAAATTCTTCTTTTTTGGTAATACTCAAGCTATTACCGGAAATCAGAATAATTTGGCCTCTTTTAATAGGATCCAAACTACTCAGGTCTTTTCAGCTAGTTATATATTGGCTTTTATGTTTGTTCTTAATTTTTCTGCCTTATATGTATTTTGCTTTGTAAAGTTACCTTAATCCTTTTTGAAAATAGGATATAAATCTCAAATACTCAAAGTCCTTAAAACTAAGGCAAAACTAAGTAGTCCACGTTGAACTGTAGAAATAAGAGAAACACAAGAAAGAAAATCCAAAATTATTTTTTCTCAAAAACTGTCATTTTATAATCCCTGTATCACCATCATTGAATCTGAGCCAGAGTTTACTGGCTACTACACAGTCTGGCAAATATCATCTCCCAAGACATTTACAATGAATAATTAGCTTATACTACGGTTCCATTCAAAGCAGAAGAAATCCTCATTCCCAAATCCAACTGACTATTCTCATAACTATTCAGTCAAGTGCTCCATCTATCATCCAATTTCCATCTCAGATTACCTGCTTTTCTATGTTTTCTCTTTTGCAATTTTTTTTTTTTTTTTGGCCTGGAACATTTAAAGTTGGAAGTGAAGATGCCTTTGCTGATAAAGCATATACATTGCTAAGTATACATCTTTTCATCTGTATTTTATCAAGTTTGGTTAAGATCATAATTGAAGAGAAAGTAGGAAAAGTAACAATCAATGTCAGTATTTATTCTTATTTAGGCAGAAAAGTGACGTTATCCAAGTTAGCAATTTAAAAAGAGCAAAAGTTCTGCAAAATTACTTCAAAGTCTGTTGTAGTATTTATTAAAGTCTGTTTGAATGATGGGGATTTCAGACAGGAAAACTTGAATCAGATATATTTACAAATAAGCTTCTGAAATTTTAAGGCATGCACCTTAACCTTTGCATTTTATTTTCAGCTTTACCGAATCAGATAACCTCAAATCATTCCTGAAAGGTCAATGTCTGCACACAATGGGGAGAGATGGGTAGCTGCACTACAGCCTCAAATTCTGCAACTTATCTATAGGAGGAAGAGAGAGGAAATCTTGTATAAACAGCCTCAAGAGTCGGTCAATCTGGAAACAGAACCAGGGGTGCTAGGAGCAACTTTTTCCCCGGTTCATCGTGGCTACTACTTTATGGTAAGGCATAACAGAAACTACATAAAAAGTTGGACTGTGTTTATTTTCCTATATTTATCTATAGATAAATCCCAAACTAGGAAAATAATTCCATTCTTTGAGCCACAAGGCCAATATGATGTCTTAGATTATATCTTTATACTTTCTTCAATAAAACACACACTCACATACTTATAAATACAGATTTTTTTTTATGTGTTTTAGAGAAAAGAGAATAAAAACACGAATGGCAAATATTTTAAATGAACCAATAGAACTTCTGGGAAGGAAAAATATAATAGTTAATTTAAATTTTATAGGATGTGTTAAACAGTGGCTTAGCTGCCACTGGTAGAAAAATAGTGAGATGAAAGACAGATCTGATGAAATTACCCAGAAGGCAGCCATGAGTCAGAAAAAGCAATGGAAAATCTGAAAGAACTTAAAGTACATTGATCCATGGATCAAAGGGAATTTTAACATCGATTTAACCAGCGTTCCAGAGAACTGGGGACACTTTTTGGGCTAACATCCCACCTCTCAATCAGAGCCGGCTTCTCAACTTGGAAGTCAGTCAAAAGGTAATTAGTCATTTGGAATTTGTTAGCCAGCAAAACTATTCCAAAAATTAAAGAAAAATAAAAACATTCGTAGGCAAATAAAACTGAGAGAGAATTTACCATCAACAGCAAAGCCACTGCTCAAGGTTTTACTTCAGGAAGAGATAAAATTAATCCCCAAAGGAAATATATACAAAAATGATGAGCAAAACAATGATAAACATGGGAGTAGACTAAAATAAATAATAATGTCTAACAGTGGTTGTTTAAAAAAAACAAGAGCATTAAATAGCACTAAATAGGGTTAATGTAATAAAATACAGTACAAGTATAGAACACATGAATGGTGTATGGTTGGAAATACAGGCTTTGCATTTTCCTCACTGATGAGGATTAAATTAGACTCATTAACCTCAGAGATCGAAATAGTATGTGTACTTTTAACTGGCATTGGCAAACTTTTCCTGTAAAAGAAGTAATAGTAAATATTTCAGGTTTTGTTTTTCTGTCACAAATATCCTGCTGCTGTCATGTGAAAGCAGCCATCAACAATATGTACACTAATATGTACATAGTCCAATAAAGCTACTTATAAAAATAGGTGGTAGGTGGGATTTGCCCCATAGGCTGTAGTTTGCTGGCCCCAATTCTAAGTTGGTAGAAGGAAAAATTGCACTGTAGTAAAATACAGTGAATTTAACAGGATGAAAAAGAAGGAAAAAATAAAAGAAACAGCAAATGGGAAATACTGCCTATAGTATGATAGAACTATATCCAGACACAGTCATATGATATTAAATGTAAATGGAATGAAAAGAATCACCATTGGCAGATTGGATTTAAAACAATAACTTTAAGCAACTAACTACCTTCTGTAGAACTGAGACACATCTAAAATTTAAAAACATAGGAAGGTTGAAAGTAAAATGAAGGTAAAATAGGTACCAGAACAATACCCACCACAGGAAAACTGGGTTAATCATATTAGTAAAGTGTATTTATACTTTAATACAAAAAAGAGCTATTACTAGAGAAATGATCAAAACAGATCAATCAAGCTTTTAATCAATATTCTCCTTTTATGTAAGACTTAGTAGGCTATGTCTTCAAATTACATAATGTAAAAATGCAAAGAACTACAAGGAGAAATTAAGAGTGCACCTTTTTAGTAAGAGATGTCAACAAACCTCCCATTAACTGAAAGATTAAGATAAAAAAAAATAGCAGTGAGGATAGAGCATATATGCAACATAACTTAATGGACATGTATAGAACATTGAAGAATATACATTATTTTCCAGCAAATATGGAAAAATGTATGAAAATTGATCATTTTTAACCAACTTCAAAAAATAAATTTTCTAACAAAAATCACTGTTGTGACAAGAATATGTGAGCACATTGGAACAATGTATTTCTTTGTCTTTCTTCTTTAAGATGTGTAAGTGAAAAGCATATGTCCTGTAGAAAGATTGCATCTGTGAATACAGGGTATGCATCTTTTGAAAATGAGGACATACTGCCATTGTCTGTTCAGTTTTTTGTCATGTCTTCTCATAAAAAACTTTCCAGAATGGCTTTTTAAATTACCTGTTTAAAATTAATAAACAAAAAAAAGGATTTTATCTTCGCACATAATGTCATTGTTTCCTTAAGGTTATAAAGATTCTGGTAATTTGGAAACTACTTGTCTTTAAGATGAAAAGTCCACAATGTTGGACTCAAGGATACATGTTGTCAGTAAGCATTTCTAATATGTTTTACTTAGGAGATGAAATAAAGCCTGTATGAGAGAGCAGACACCTCCCCAAAGATGTTATACTGAACAGGAGGAATGTTTGAAAGTCTTGGCTATTGAATATAAGGAGTCCAGTGACTCTCATTTCATAGTAACCTCACAGGGCTATTATTAAAAGACAAAAAGAATTACTTTCCTTATCTTCAAAACACTTAACCAGTTTCTGGGCCTTGAGAACATCTTACCATTCTCCTTAAGTGCTGCCTGCTGATACGCTCCTGATTCCTGGGGGCCCTTCTCGTTTGCTACTTCCTTCGAAAGTCCAAATACACCAAACCAGATGTGTTTGATCCTTTTCATAAAACCACTGCAGCACTTTTCCTTCTGTGACATGCATCACATTATGCCAGCTACTATAGTTATTTGGAAAAATCGTATACTCCTACATTGTATGATGAAGAATTCCTACCATGGTCACTCACTGAATTAGTGCATTAAGAGACTTATTATAAAGATATTCTCAGAGTTGATGTTCTATAAACGATTTGGAAATAAATAGAAAGTGGCTTGATTTATTATATTAATGGAAAATAAACAGTGAACATAGAAAGAATACTGCCAAACTGAGATAGTGAGGGGATTAACTACTTTAAAGTGAACATCCCCATGGCATCTCTTTTTTATGGCATTCTGATCTGCGTTTCATGAAGGTTTTTTTTTTTCCTGATGTTTAATCTTGATCTTTCATTTGGAACATATTTCTGTTTCTCTCTCTCTCTTTTTTTTTTGTTTTTGCTTGACTCTGTGTTGGTTGCTTTGCATTAGGTGACAGCCACCTCCTGTCTTAAAGGGTTAGCTGGCCTTGTGTAGTTGATGAACCTTATTGTTCATCCTTGCCCTAGCTCTTGCGTGTCTCAAACCTTCCTGATTTCCAAGCAGCC